CGGTCCTCAATAGCCCATCGCGCCACTGGCTCTTCATCAGGAGCCACCAACCAGCAGATCAGCATGGGCTGATCCAGCAGTCCCCAGAAAAACTGTCCAAGATTTTTACCTTTGTAGGGAAAAGTCCCCCAGGTCAATTCTACCACTCCAGAAGGAGAGGGTGAAGCCATTGCCCACTGTGACGTTTTGGTACCACCCAGTGACATCCTTGGTCTTCTCTCTGTGTGCAGACTGGACCCCTGCAGCCTCACTGCCACAGCTCTAGCATCATGCTACACACGCATTGGAGGACTCACCATTTTGCTGAGGCATCTCTGGCCCCCAGAACCACTTGACCACCTGAGTATGGCAGTCCCTCTGAACAGCAAATCCATGTGATCACAAGCAAAACCTTAAGAGCCGGTGCTAGAAGAGAAATATAAAAACCTTTCAGACTTACTTTTCTTTAACATGAAGATATTTAGGACCATCTCACTTCTCTGCTCCAGACTTTCAATGATTAAGGACTGCAATGTTGACTGCCTACAGCCATGGCATCATTCTTTTCCCCTCAGGCTAACCCAGAGTTACCCTGCATGCCCCTTTCGGATGCCTCCACAGCACAGTCTCAGCCTGGAGATGCAGGGAGCCAGGGCAGCAGGACCCCTGCCTGCTCCCACACAGGGGCTGCAGCAGCTGGGTCTGAAGCCAAGCAGAGACCAGGCAGGAGGAACCTTCCTGGCCCTGCAGTGGGTGGTTAGAGGAGGGAGAAGAGAGGAGCCCACAACTGCCCAGTTGTTGCATTCTCTCTAGTGCAGCTGGGTTGCTCCATCTGCCCAGCCCAATGTTTTCCATTTGGCTGCAGCAATCACTGCAGTGCAGGGTCCAGCAGAGGAGAGCCACTGCTGAGATCCCTGTGCTAAACTATAGGACAGGGAGTGGGAACAGACAGATCCTATGGCCAAGCTATTGGCAAGGAAGTATTTCATCTACCCTGCATGTGAGGGCCAGACCCACACACTTTACTGAACCAAACAATGGAAGTATCTGGACCCACTTTGGCATATTCCAAACACATTGCACCCCATCAGCATCTTTGAGAGATCTATTAATTCTCACTAGACACAGAAGTAACTGAGATAACCTTTCCTTCCTTCTGTCTTTCAGCACCAAGGAGGTGGCGTAGAAAGGAAGCTATTTATACATGAAGTAGAAAAGTCTATTTTTTGTTTACTTTGAAAAAGCCCAGTATTGACTTCCATTTATCTTCCAATAAGTCCTTGTCCAATGCAGCTCAGAATATAATCTGTTCCAAGGGCAGGTGCTCCTTAATGAGAGCTGATATTTCCATGGTTTTTACTCCATTCATTAAAAGGGAGAGAGAAGGAGAGAAAAAAAGAAGAGAGTTAGAAAATGGCATGAAAGCATATTATCAGTAAATTGTTTCCACTGTGTTTGTGACTCTTCTTAATGTTTTATGAATATGCTAAAAAATTTGCTCAGGCATTTTTCCTTGGGCACTCTAGTTAATTACTTATTCAGAGAGCTTCTACTCTGTTCCTTGCAAAATGTGTTGTGCATTAATTCTGATTATGTACAAAAACCCACCTGCAAGGAAAAACTCTGAATCAGTAATGCTGATAAAATGAGCAGCTCTCCTGGGGCTTTACTGAGAAACAGGATACTGGACAGAATTAAAATCTTGTAGCTAAGGCTATTCATAATGTCATTAACATAAAGGCAATTAAATGAGTTTTTAACCTACAACCCTTTATTGTTATTAATGAACATTAGAAAAACACAGGAGATAAAATTGGTAATTATCTCTGCACCAAGCTATGCAATAATGTGTTTAAATATAAAAAGAAAACAAATGATTATTGTTAGTATTTTCAGTAGCAGAAGCCCCAAGGAGCAGCTCCGTCACATTTAATCACATGGTACTACACCAAGAGGGTTAATTAAACCAGGGCTTTACCTTCAGCATGCTTGGTTATTCTGTTTAATATGGAATCAACAAACAGAAACACCAGTCTGCAAAATATTCCAGGCAGTGCCTTTGCCATCAGGTGAGCCACCTTTACAAAAACCAAGAGGGCTCTCACTCCCTTCAGGACAAGGAGCTGCAGCCCTCTAATCAAGTTTTTATTGTCACATGCTTTAAAAAAACAATTCCTGAAACACCTATATAAGTCATGGTTCATAGTCCAAGCTTTAAAAGTCCATTTTGTAAAAAAAGAATTTTCAAAAAAGATTATTCAAAAAAGGTGAACATTTGATGGCAGATGGTAGATATGATTGCAGCACTACAGTGCAGTGAAAGAACCTCCAGTTCCATTTCTTTATGCAAACTATTGTACCCTCTACTTAAGCAGTCATAAATTAGAATATCTTCTAAAGGGAAAATGCACTAAAGCTCAGTGAAATAGCCTGTATCTAGACTTGAACTTAATAATTTGATTAAAGTTTTATGATTTAAATCTCCAGAATAACTTTAGCATCTCTCTTTTATAATACTTCTTCTAATGTATTTACAGTATTTTGGGGGTTCAGAAGTCTATTTTCTGGGCAATATGTAGCTAAACAAATGACAGTTAATAATTCTATCTTCCATGTCAGTAGATAAAGCTTTCCTAAGGAATGTGTCCATCCAGACAGGGCTTGGGAGGGAAGAGCTGAAGGCACTTAAAGACTGCACAGAATCCAGCCCTGCTTTCATGGAGCAGCACGTGTTATTGCTGCAAGACCAGCTGCTGCAAGGACCTGCCCTGTCCAGCATCCCTGTGCCCCCTGCATCCAGGGGGTGGCATCTGAGGAAAACCCTTCCCAGCAGCAGGAGGGAGGATGCAGGAGCGAAGGGGAAACAAAAGAAAGAAAACTCCAAGGGTGGTTGGCCGATGTGCTGGGCACAGGGATAACTGAGTGCACTACACCAGCGAGGGCTGCACACGTGGATGCAAAGGAGGCCTGACAGCTCTAGAGCTACTTTGTCCCTAGAAGATATTCCTTCTGGGACTGCTGAAGAGAAGTGAGAAATTTAAAGGATTTAGTCAAGAAGAAAAGTGACCAAGGTGCTCCCTTGCTATTTGGGAAATCTGACTAGTGAGACAGCAGAGGAAGAACCAAGAAAAGGAAAATATCAAAAGGGTGAACAATTAGCAGCACAGCTTACAACAGCAGATAGCATTAGATAAACCACCTGCTTCTTTTAACAGACATGCAGCAGGAAAGCAAATAACCTGGCTACTCAGACATCTGAAAGAGCCTGCAAAACCTCCCTTCCACAGGGAGTGATGGCAAAGCTCAGAGCTGGATCTCAAAAGCAAAGATAGGATTTGTTATGCTGGAATAGACTGATAGTGCCTGTTTGAAGATAAATTTCATTACACATACCTTGGGGGAGTTTAAAATGGCTGCAACCACTTGCTGTTTTGGACATCTTCATCCAAGGGAGTCAACCAGTGCAGCAGTGATCCAAAAATGCAGTGACATCCCAAGAAGGAAAGGGGCACTGTGAAGTGTCCCCAAGTTTCTGACATCAGCAACACCCAGGTCAGTACAAGCACTCCTGCTCTGCTCAGATGAAACTCATAAACCTGGGAATAACCTGCTCACTGTGGGGATCAGCTCACTGGAACCATCCACCAGGGCACCTGGTCACAGTCACCACAGTGAAGGGAGCACACAAGAAATCAGTATGTTCCAGCATAACAAATCCTATCTTCTTATAAGCTAAGACATCAAAGAACTCCCAAGCCTACATCTTATTTACAGTATTTTAGTGGATAAATGACACTCTTGCTATTTTTTTTGCCACCTATCAAATGTTTACAGTGACAACAGCCTGTTGTCTGTCATTCAGAGGGTTGGCACCTGTCTGGATAATAGCATGACTCAATATTCCTGAAGTACTAGATTTCTGTAAAAGAGGAAAAATCAATAACTGTGACAAGTGCTATCTATTAGAGCCCAAGAGCAGAGAGCAAACGATTACACAATGTCATTTGTTTAATATAACAAGACTGTAAATGAAAACTCTATCAATTGATCTTTGGAGGATAAAACATCCCTTCAAAGGCAAGATGACCATGGACCAGATCTACTTGACTTCCATAAGGCCAAAATGTTCAATACCAGCTGAAGCTCAGGGTTCCCATCCTGTCAGTTGATGGACCCCTTTGAGATCAATAGCTTCCAGTACATACAGATCATGAAAACAGCAGCCATCAGCACCAGCACTCCAGGGCAGAGCCAGAAATGTATTTTTCTGTACAGCTCTGCTTTTTCTTCATCGGGTTTTCCGAGCAAAGCAACGCATGCATACAAAATACATCATATATATTGAGATCTCTATTTCAATATTCATAATATATGCTCATACTCAAGATAACAGCATTTCTAAGCACTCTGTGAATATGGACAGCAGGAGGTAAAGAAATTTGGCTGGCTTCAAGAGCACAGTCATGCTCTGCTCTCCAGCTCCCTTCCCACCCCTGGTGTCTTTCATTGTTTGGCATTGTGGCCTTGTGCCACTTGGGCTGATGTTTCACTTTTAAATGGCATTTCAGCCTTGGCCCCCTCCCTGCCCAGCACCCTCTCCCGGATTAGCTCTTGGGTGCCATATGGTACAAATGGCCTGCCACCACCCGCTCAGTCAGCGTTTAAAAACCTGCCAGAACGCTGCCTCTGCTGGCAGCCTGCCTGGCAGCTCCGTGGGCTGCGGAGGGAGCGTGAGGCTGCCTGGCAATAATGGAGATGGGGCCGTGCCAGGGCGTGTGCAGCACCCTGGGAGCAGCGCTCCCCTTGCCCGGCCGCTCCCCAGGGCACGCTCAGACATTCCTGCACACCCTTTGCTGCTTCCCAGCTGCCTCGCTGATGCAGTCAAAAACAGCACTTGTTCACTTCAGCTGTGTTCTGCTTCATTCTGAGTACGGGCCCAGGGGAGCAGCACACAGGTCCATGGACTGCTCCCCAGACAGTGCCACAGGGAGCCATCCCCTGGCCACAGCGGGCACCCAGATTTGCAGGGACAGCAACCCACTGATGTGCAGGACAGGCAGGGCCACTGGGAACTGGCTATGGTTTCCTCACCTTGCCATAAAGTCCTTTCCTAAAGCATATATATTCCTCCTCTCACAGTGGCATGTACATGTCCTTAGCTGCTTGCAGGAGGGTGATCAGTCCAAGAGCATCACCCCCAGAGACCTGGTCTGGAGAAACAGAAGAGAAGGAAGCCTTGTGGAAACTCAGTAGAATATTAGCCCCTCATCTCAGGGGAGAAAAAAATTGCACGAAAAACAGTCATCTACAGCAGAAAACCTTCTCCAGTATCTCTCCAACAACACATTTTTCCCCTCTTACCTGACTCTCTTTCAGCCTGAACAAGCCTCTTGCTTTCCCTCATCCTACAGCAGTTCTGACTCAAATTTCTCCTCTACCAATCTGATCTGATTTTTGCTTAACTTTTTCCCTCCAAGAAAGGAGACTTTCCATCTTCTTGTTACACTAGAAGCAGATTCATTCAAATGTCTGAATCATCTCATATCAAACATCATATTTTGGTTTTGATCCCTATTAAATCTGTATCAGATTATGTTTCCAGGTTTTGGCAGAGAGCTTCTCATGGGCTTCTCCATCTGTAGGACTTTTCCCTAGCATTGGTGTTTCTCCCATGCAAAGTCCTGCTACTAGTGCTGTGAAATTGTTTTCCTCCAATGCCATTTCACTAAAAAAGCATTAATCATAAAATAGTCTAAGCTGGAAGGATCAACAAGCCTAACTCTTAAGTGAATGGCCCATGCTAAGTACCCTCACCAGTGCAGGTGACCAACTGTCCCAACAGGAGCCATGCAGTGGCCATAGCACAGACAGGCAGTGTGACAGCAGCTGGTGGCAAGGCTCAGACAAGGAGCACTTGGAGCAAATTGGGTCCACCAGGGCCTCAGACCCACCAAGTCCCTGGGTGGTGGAAACTGTGGACACTCCCAGTGGCACCTGGAAAAGGTCCAGCCATGGAAAACCTGAGATAGGCAAGAAATTATGTTGGCTGAACCACTCACCCAAAATCCAATCATCCATGCGCTTGGGGCCACTTGTGAAGTGAGGTGCCTCAAGTATCTGCAAACCACTGAAGACAAAGGGTCAGGCTGGATAGCTTCAAAGCTGGAGAGCTTCACTTACAGCAGATGAGAAGGAGAAAACTTGCAACTCCCGTGTCACTTTCTATTGGGCAAGTAGGTCAGCAGTTAAGATGCTGCTGCTCATTAAAAGACATCACTTTGTGTTTGTAATTCATCAACTCCAGATAACCTCCAGTAGAGCATCAGACTTGCAGGAGGCCTCATTCTCCCAGATGGGACTTCAAAGCTGCGACAGTACCCGTACGTATTTGTGCGTTATTTAGCTCTTGTTAGACTAAGCTTTGCCCTTCAGTTGCAGGGGACTGGAAAGAAGAAAGGCAATATTAGAATTAAAAAAAGCAAAACTATAAAAGGAAATGCAGGATGAAAACACCTTGACAGTGACTGCTGGCCACATTGGTAATTCCTGTGCAGTGGTGAAGAAAGTAGCAATGCCACGGTTCTAATGTATTCTGGTGAAATATTTGTACGATGTGCCTACACAAAGCTTCAGATGAAACAGTCTCTTTATAAGCTTTTGATAGCTAGGAGGGAAGTGGCTTTGCCATTACCTCTGTTTGTGAAATGAAAGCAATGCTGAGTCTTGGTGCTCCTGGATGGAGGAGCTGATCATCACAGTGACAGCCAAACTAGCTTTGCTTGTTTGTTGTTTACCTTATGCTAAGGGGAAGGAGCTCCTTTGTTGTCATTGTCTCGTGTGATGTGGTAAAACACAATCCATGCCCAATGTGCACAGGAATTTCAAACCAGCAATATTTATTATCCATGCATAGACAGCACATATTGCTGCTTTGCTGTCAGTGCTGCTTGCAGTGCTTTAGTGAAAATAAAAGGGCATTTGTATCTCGAGTGCCACACTGTGCTGTGACAACATGAGTGTTGCAAGGGCTGTTTGGTATTGTACCACACACACAGGGCTGAGAAGGAAGGTTCCACCACAGCTGCCTCGAAAGACTCAAAGTGCATGAAAGAAACCCTTCCAGGTGGCATTTGTAACCTCCTGCTGTAAGGGATGTGCTCCCAAGCCCAAATGCTGCCCTGGGCCTTCCCGCTGTTGGCAGCAAGGAGCTGCTGTTCCTCGCTGCCTGCAGAGGTGCCTGAGGTGCGTTTGAGTGGAATTTAGCCAGTACATGAAGCTCAGTAAGAAACACCAGGAGCCTGGTATTTCACATGCTGTTTTTAACTGAATAAAGGATCCTAGGTACAGCCTGAAATAGTCTGAGGGGATTAAAACCTTTCACAAGCAATCAGCCCTACCTAGCAGGTTTCTAGGGCCTGTTATATATGGTGCAGCATAAGATCCCCCCTTATTTTCACAACAAAGCAAAGAAATCAACAATACACAAGTGCTGGACCAAGCAGCTTTAAGAATCATACAGGTTCACTGCAGTTTCCCAGCTTTAACATGATGACTTATCTACCAAATAGTTATCCTCTCACAAAGTTCAAAACACATTAAATTCCCCATCAAACTAGACAGTTGTTTTTAAACTGCTCCTATGTTCAAAGTCAGAACTCGCAAAGAAAGAAGAAAAAACCCACCTGATATATGTCTTCTTTCTTTAGCTTCTGATCTTGAGTCTGAGGAAGCTGTGAACACAACTGCACTTGGGAATAAGTCCTTGGCAAAGCTAAGGAAGGCATTTGTGTGTTAATAGTACATAATTTACCCTCACCACAACCTCTGTGTCAAAGCCACCTCCCCTGCATGTGGCTGGCCATGCCTGCTGCATGGGCAGAGCTGACACTGGAGGGTAGATCCTGCTCTCCTTCCACAGAACCCCAAGACCAAGGGACATTTAGAAGGGAAACGCAGCACAAAGATAGCACTACAGGGTCCCACAGTTTCTGGAGCTCACCTTCAAGTTTGAGGCATTTTTCCCCATGACATTAAGATGTTCTCCTCTGTAGTGGGGCAGAGTACTGGCATTCCCAAGTGGCAGAAATTTCTCCAAAGCAGGCACTCCCCACCTTCCATTCTCAAGCCTGCAGTCCCTCAGCCCCTGCTCGTGAGAGGCAGGTGTGCCTCAGCCACCCTGAAGCCCCCACCTGGCAACCTGACTGGCTTCAATACTTGTCAGAAGCTGTAAAACAGCCTCTTGCAGATCCCTTGGCTAACGGGCTTGCAGAGAGGGGCAGCTGAATTGGAGCTGTCTCCTCCCACAGAGCAGCTGTCAGAGCTTCCAACACCTGAAAGGTGAGAAGAAAAGGGATTCACATTTAAAAAGACCAAGTCACTTCAGCTACTACTAGTTTATTGATTGCCAAATCAATAAACTCAACTAAATAAAGTAGGACTTCCTGAATTAAAGCAGAACACGACACTCTGTGCTCTGAAACTAAATGAGAGCTGCTTTTTGTGTTACAGCCAATGCAGGAGCTGCCAACAGCTTTGCACCTTCCTGACTTGTGCTACCTTAAGAAGAAAAGCACTATTTTCCCTCATCTGCATGTCCATCTCTGTTAATTGGTGACAAGCACAAGCAGCCTCCCCAGCAGCCCCTCTGAGCACAGAGCACAGTGGGGTTCCCACAACACGTTATTCTGGGAGTCAGCCTCGATGGGAAGCAGAAACCTGTACCAAGAAAACCTGCTACTGGTAAAGCAGATTTTTTCTGCCCAGTTTGATTCCAGCCACGGGGTGCTACAGAAGAACAGCTATTTGTATTGCAACTGTCTTTTAGGCTGCTTCCTTCTCACTGAGTATATTCCACAGAGCTGTTCTTTGCAGTCAAAACCACAGACAAACATGGATTACAAACATGGATTAATGAAAATATTTGAATGGGCTTTGATGAGGCTGTGGAACCAGAAAACACCATCGTAACAGCTGGGATCCCTGCACTGAAAGGACACACTGTTAACGGAAGTAAATATGTTGCTATGAATTTCTGACTTAATTGACAGAACATTTTATAGTGTGAACTTCAAAATCTCATTAGGAATGAATCAGAACATGGCTATGTGCCTGTAACATTTTCAATGCCAACATATAGTCAGGCCTACTCGGAGCTGATAGCACTTCTTGATCAAGCAGCTGAGAGATTCCAATGTAATTCAATGCAATCAACTATAATGCTTCATGCCAATATGTAAAACTAAATTGGATTAAAAGAAATACCATCTCAAAATTATGGTCTGACAGACAAATCCCAGCATTTTTAGTGTCTCTTAGTTCACAGCCATCCCTGACATGCCTAAGCTAAAGAAATAAAGGCATTTTCCTGCTGACACTGAGGTGTGAGGTGCCCGAGAGGCCGGCCAGGCTGCACAGGAGGATCTCTGTGTGATTGAAGGGCTCTGCCAGTAACTCCTCTGCCCCAGGAGGACACTACATTTTGGCACTTGACTACATTACCCCTGTCATACTCATTCTTATTATGGAGGTACGACTTAATTCTCATCAGCTTCAGTGATAATATTACGAAACTAAGCATAATTAAAAGACCTTCCAGACATTTAATGCCTGCCTGCTCCTGCTCAGTGTGTGGCCACGCACTGCTGAGAGAGCAGCACCCATCCACCTCCCAGCTGAGGCACAGGGCTCACCCCACGCAGCAAGGCAGCCTGGGCTCTGGGGCTGCAGCATGGCAGCTTCTGGGGACTGGGCTTCAGCCTCAGACCAGCCTGCTCTCCTCAGGAAAGGGAGCTCTCCTGAGCCACGGGAAACCTGGAAAGCTGGAGTTTGGAGAGACTGCCTTTACAAGTAGTGGGAGCACCTAGCACAAGCACCCTTATCTGAAAGTCAGCTACCAGTAGTTTCAACAAGATGAGGGTCTGAGGAATCTTTTGTGACAGATTTAGGAGATTAAAAATTCCATCATATATGGTTGGTTCGCTCTTTTACTGAAAGAGCTGTCTTAAGAAATTACTGAATTATTTGAAACAAACCCAAACTATCCACCACTATCTCAGGAACCCTGCTTAACTAATTTATTACATTTTGAGAACTGACCTTTTGATGCTTGGGAGACCTGTGAGCTGGCACAGTCTCCCTGATGCAGCATCCCAAGAAAGCAGGACTGAGGGCATCAGCAGCGACACACCAGACATTCCTGATTTCCCCTGCCAGGCTGGAGCTGCACAGGTCACACAGCTGTGGCTGGATCTCAAAGTGACCCTCAAAAGCCAAGGGTGAAAAAACACCAGATCACATTGCCAGGTTTACTCATTCACTGTTTCCTTCTGAGTTAAAGGGAAGCCTGGGAGCTGAGGCAATCCTGTAATATCTGCTTAGCCCACAAGTACACAAATTAAAATATCTGACAGATTGCTAATGAGCTGATGTTGGAATGCCTGGATAGTCTGTTATCATTTGGCCATTCACAGTTTCCTCGCAGCCCATCTGTGAGCTAGGGCAGCTACAGCCTCCCTCCATTTACACCTTTTGCCATTATCGGCCTTTGGGAAAGGCCTTCAGCAATTAAAGTTTGTATCAAACATATTGTCATCTTTCCCACCCTGTTACTAGCCCCTCTGTGCTGCTACAAAAGGTCTGCTCAGCAGAAGGCTGGAGCCGTAGCTATTTTGTACACACTTCTGTACCTGAGCCCGTGTTTGTGCCCCAGCCTGGCAGCTTCACTCACATCCCACATCAGATGCTCAGACTGCCCTGGCAGCTCACAGCTTTCCTCCCGAGCCAAACCCACCCTGCTACATCCTCACACATTTGAGCTGCTTTGTGAAAGACCTCCTGGTATTAGCCAAAGTTCATACACACATACACTTTTGTTTTGAGGTGCAAAAGGAGAGAACCACAAGATAATCAGTTGGGGCTGTTGGAAAGGAAGAGTCCTGCCTGCAGGCTCCAAAGGACTAACATTGCTGGGGGGACAGATGCGAACTGAGGGCAAATCTGTATGCTCCTACTCACTCTGCTGAAGGTGCCATGGAGAGCTGCTGCTGGCTTGGGATGGAGCCAGGCAGCACAGGGGGAAATGCACAGGGCAGAGCTCGAGCAGAGGCACCTGTGCAGAGGCACACTGCAGCTGTGTCACACCAGCTCTCTCCTGCATACCCATCACTGGGAGGCAACACTCTGGCAGTAAGTGGGCCCAGTGCCTTCAACCACTGCATCTTAAAAATTCCCAGTGTGCAAAAGATCTGCATTGACTGTGGTTTTCTGCAGACACTGCAGTCCTCAGGGCTGCCATTCTGTCCACCTAAATATGGTGAAAAAAGGACAGTAAACAGATTAAGAGAAGATTGAGTGTGCATGTTATATGGCAGTACTGTATGGTGGCAACTTGTTTGGCTTTTTTAGCTAAAATTACTTTCCTCACGCCATCACTCACACTGGGCA